TTGATTACATCTGTAGCTTTCTCAATCTTTCCCTCAATCCATTGAGAATACCCAAATATCATTCTTTTGAATTCCTTATCAGGTAGACCTAAAGCCATTTATTCCTTAACAGTGTTTTTGACTTTATATTTTGGTCACTCTGTCTTGTTTCTTCGTGGAAACTGAAACTGTCTTTTGTTTCTGAGACATTGTGGCATTGTTGTATTTGTATTAATTGATGGTGCATTCTTGGGCACTCACCACCTTTTTCCTAGTGTGTATGATAGGTAATGTGAATGTGTGTGAAGTTCTCTGCGTGCTGATCTTGTTAAAGGCAGGGTTGGCTGGTTCAGCCACTGTGTAGCAATGGTCTAGTGGCACAAGAGTGGGCATTTGCCCTTGCCCAGTAAGTAGAGTTGCAGGAGTTATGGCTGTGAGTGGGCTGTCTTGATTGCTGTCTTCCACCAAGTGGGACAAAAAAGCAGAATAAAATAAACCCCAAAATATTCATATGCAAAACAAAGTATGGCAAAAAATGAAAATAAAGGGACAAAAACAGACAAGCAGAGGAAAGCAGGTAATCAATGACAAGAAAAAATAGTGCAATAACTGACAAAAAGGAGAAAAAACTAAAAACAAGGACAGAAATAAAGAATGAAACATGCTATAAATACAACTAAGGAATGGCAAAGAAAAGAGAAAAAGAAAGATGAAGAGTAAAAAAACCAAGGGAAAAGAAAATAGAGGAAAAAGGGAAGGGAAAAAGAAAAGAGAAACAACAGAAAAGAAGAACATTGAGAAAGTATTAAAAAAGCAAAGGAAGGGGAGGAAAAGAAAAAAGAAAAGATAATTGAGTTGGGGGCAGGATTCCCAGAGGAATGAGGCAGGGCACCAGGTATGTGTTGGCACTCTTTGCCAGACATGAACTCGTCTGGGAGAGGGGATGGAAGGAGGCCACCCCATCCTAGTTGGAGTTCCTGCCATCCTAGATGTCTGGGGTCAGAGCATCTCGTCTGGAAGTAGATTATGCCGGCTCAGAGGGTGGCTGAGCTGAGGGTGCTTGTCTCTAGAAGGAACTCTCTAGGGCTCAGAGGTCAGCTAGAGGCTGAGCAGTGGATCGTGGAAGGAGTTCTTACTCCTTCGTGTTAGCCAGGAACCTCACTGCATGTGCCGCTGGTCTGTCGAAATCCACATACCTCCAGATGTGGGGGTGGTGCATTGGGAACCGAATCCACGAGGGTGCAACGCTGACACAGGCTGAGCAAGGGCTTTGCAGGGGCTATGTCACTGGGCACAGGGAGGGTGAGCATGGGCTGGCCATGGTTCTATTCACCAGGAGGGACTCCAGTGGGATCCATGTCTCCAGCCACTGGCATGTATGTGTGTGTGTGCTGACAGACTGCTTTCTGGGTGGAATGCGGCTTGCAAAAGTTCAAGATGGCCACACTCCATCAGGCCAGCCAACAGCTCACCCAT